CCCCCCCCCCCCCCCCCCCCCACTGTCATCATTGCATTTAGAATAGCTCTGCTGTGCTGTAAAGGAGCCCCCCTAGCTTTGTTGCACGATGTCTGAAATATATGTGAACAGTAATGCCAATATGTTATGTAGTATGTCATTGTCATCTTCTTTAACGTATTTGCCTTTTACTGTAACTTCACAGATAGAAAAAATAATAGTACATGGTATATAGCCCACATCTAGACTGAGAAAGTAAAATTCTTTCTGCTGTGGGCCAAATTACATCTTTAACTATGGTCCTTTAATCATAATTATAAAGTGAGGTTCTTCTCTGAGAAGCACAAAGAGATAAAGGAACATATGTAGGTATGACATGCTTAACCAAATATGGAGCTGGAAATGGACTTTTATTTTGTTCTATTAACCAGTATTTACACTGCCTCTGAGAATAACAGCTTCAATTTACCAAACAGCATCTCAGGCAGAGGAAAAGCTTAGTACTGTCACTGGCAAAACAACACAGTTTTAGAATCTAAAAATTAAAATGACCTTATCAGTGAAAACAGATTGCCCAGACACACAACAACATCCAGACTGTACATACCTTGTAGTCTTGGAACTTGGCTTTGTTTTCTTCATTTATGTCCTCAGTTTGCCTGGCATAGTCAAGAGCCTGGTCCAGTGCCTCCTGTAAGTCTGAGATCTTCATGTCATGGTCATTGATCTGGTCCAGTACAGTAGGGAACATAGATCTGGTGGCATTATATAACACCTGCCACTCTTCAATTTGCCTTAGCACTACAGGAAGAGACAGAGGATATTAATTAATCTTTCTGAATTCCATTCTTGTCTTCTGTTGCAGAAGCTTCTAGCCTACCTCCATGATATTCCAAAGAGATGAAGATGAAGATAAATGCTTTCAGAAGAAGTTTACATATACCAGCACGAGAAAAACATCATGACCTGTCTTTGCTGTCCTTAGCTAGGTTGCCAATAAAATCACATTTGCTAGGGCATTTGAATATTCACCTATAATATTTAGCTAGTTTTTTAAATTAGTCCTGCTCTTTTGAATAGGAAAAACTTGTTTCATTTTAACTTCATCTGAAATATAGAGACATGACATTCAGGTATTTTTTCTAGGTTATTTTCTCTCTGATGTGGTGCTTCAGCTAACTCTCAAGGCTTGGACAGTTCCACTATTTAAAGGGGGACATTCATGTTAAATGATCCATTGTAACTGTTCAGTCTGTCTGCTCATATTATGAGATAAGTGAACCTAAACCACAGTAATTTGCCTGTGAATGAAACTGGAAGAAATTATTATGGTTTAGCTTTACTTATTATGGGTTGAGAATGGACAGATGAAACAGTTACACCAGATTCAGATACACCACAGCCAGTTTTTTTAAATGCAGTGTAACTCTTGCATCTACTCATGCCTTTATTCTCTGGATGGAAGAGTTTTACACTGCATACTGCTTTATTCCAAAAATTACCTAGCTTAGGTTGGAAATGGTGTAAGATAACTGTAACACTGATTTCCCACCATGTAGTTTCAATTATCAGCTGGGGAACCTCACTCAAATCAGTAATTCCACTAGTATAAGTTTGTAGACCCCCATAATACTGAATCTAAGGTGTATCTAAAATTGATGTTGTTCTTATTGTGCCAGATACTAGTTTACTGACACCCTTCATGTTGTTTTTTTTATTTGTCTTTTTTAAACAAGCAGTCATGGCTAAATCACAGTTTTCTCATGTCCAAGCAAAAATTAATAATTTACAGTAAGCCATAAAGGAAGAATGTTTATCGGTTCACAGATTTCCTATGCTTGTCATGATAGCACATATTCTCAAGCTATGAATGCTCCAATATCCCAGTAACTACTAAAGTCAACATATTCTGAAAGGAGGCTCAATATAGATTCAGAATCGCCTGTTACTATGACCTGATCACTACTGGAGAGTTGTTGTCATGCTGGATCTTTTAATCAGGTGGAGAAACAGAAAAAAAGCTCACACTTTTGTGCTGCATCAGCCTCATCATCAGCAAGTTTCTTCTGACTGGTGAAAGGCTTGCGACTTCTGATTTCCCTCAGCATCTCCTCTGCCATGTTCAGCTTTTGAATGATGTCTTCAGGGCTCAGCTCATGTTGAATTCTATAGTATATCATCTTACTGCTGATTTCTGAGGACAAAGAAAAAGATGGTCACTCCAACAATACAGTGCTAAGCAGAAATTCCCCCCTCCCCTCTGCCTTGTGGAGAGGTATCTGTGTATTAGTTAGCAGACCACATGTTGGCTACAGTCGGTGCTAAATCAACAGGCAGAATCAACAAGTAGCTGGTAATGTCTCTCTGTTGTTTTCCTAATTGGGTGATAAACATTGTTATCAATTCTCTGTTGGGCTAATCAGAGCTCCTGCCAGAGCCTGGCCATGCCCCCCTCAGCTGTATGCTATGGAAGGAAGGGAGGGCTGCTCTAGCACCCCCTGGCTTCTAGCCTGAGCCACTGCAGGCCTGTGCCTGTATTTCTGGGATGTCTGTCCGGTTACAAAACTGGTTTAGCCTAGCCAGGTTAGACTAACCTGCAAAGATTGAATCAATTCACACTCAGGCTTTTTGAATGTCTGTCCCTAGCCTTTAGGCCTTGAGTCCTCCAGAGTATAAGGTAGCAATTGTTCAACAGTGTAAAGACATACTACCTCAATCAAGCAAGAAATGAAAAAGAATGGAGTATCCAACTAAAGTTACAGGATAGAGGAGGTTATGCTAGGCAGATTGTAATTACCTAAAGTAATTGAAAGAATAGTTACTATATCTAAGGAACCAGTGCTTAGCTGGGATGATGCAGTTTATACCTAACTCTGCTTCTTTCATAAAAGTTGCTAATGGGACTTCTGATGAGCAAAGCAGGTCAGGATCTGAGCCTTAGGTCTCATGTGAAAAGAGTCTGGAGCAGGCAGTTGTAGCTGTAAGGGACCAAGACGTAGGTGATCACCAGGTTAAAGCCATGAGCCAGGAGCTGGCTGTTATCAGGCTGCCTGAATTGGAGTCAGGAGTAATGGGGCAGAGGGACATGATGAGCTGGCAAGTCCAGAGCAAAAACTTCAGCAGGCAGGAAGTAATAATGAAGCCCAAGACTAGACACAGAAGCATCTGTCCTTTTGAGTAGTCTGCTGGGCACTGAAAGCGTGGCTGCTGGTAAGGTGTTAGCTATGCCCGTGCAGGCAATCGAGGCCAGCTGTAAGTAGTGAGACTGTTGGCAGCCAGACTCACTCAGGTAATCAGGGACAAATGGAGGCAATTTGGCCTGCTTGGTGCCCCGACTCCTGACAAAAGGAACATTATCAATCTCACAACATCTCTTAAAAGCATGGCCACTTATTCCATGCTGATGTTAAAGGAAGAATCTCTCTTACAGCAGGGGTGTCAAGCCCATCTGGCCCCACAGGATTGGTCCATGGGCTGGATGAACAGTGAGGAGCTGGCTCCATGGGCTAGACTGAACCCTTGGACTGCCCCCACCCTCCCCCCACACTCTATCTCTCCCTCCTCCTTGCATGCCAGATCCTGTGCCCACATTGCCTGCTCCAGCTGGTCTACCATGTGCATTGTGGGTCCTGGACTGGTTGGAGTGTGACGGCATGTGACACAGTCCTGGACCAGCCAATATGGGTGCTGAATCCAACATCTGGGGGGATCCATGAGCATGCTCCTCCCCACCCCCCCCCATATGCTAGAGAGACTGGAGAAATACGGCACCTGATCTCTCTGGTCCAGGGTGGGAGCTGCAGCTCACCTCCCAGACTGGCTGAAGTAGGCAGCCTGGGTGCTGGGTCCAGCATGCAGGGTGGGGTCCAGCACTGGCCCCATGTGGGTCCTGGAGTTGGTACCACATGTCTCAGGCCCTGTGTGTGAAGCTGGTCAGGCACCCCCCGACATGTATCATGAATGGTTCAACTTGTGACTCAGGGCCAGCACTGGGGATTGGATGAAGTGGCTCCTAGGGCTGATCTGCCTCATGGGCCATATCTTTGACCCCCCCGTCTTACGGTATCAGATAAAATTATTTCCATAGCACATAGCTTTGGCAGGAAGGTGTCTTACCTAATTATTGGCTACTCAGTACAAATGCCAGGTCATATCAGTCTAACCTTTATGTTATTAGTCATCAAATATACTTTTTTTCCTGTTGTCTGTCATTGCTAATGTTATGTAAACATGTTCTATGATAGACCTGAGGCATTTATGATGAAGGTGCAGAGGGAGTAGGGAGACTTATGAGTGCATGTAATTTGTTTTTTTTTTCTTCTAGCTACAAAAGGAGAGGCTGCAGTATATTTCAGGGTTTAATCTCAGGTTAATACATTCATAGGATAAGAATATACCATTGATATGCTGGAATATGGATAATAATCTCTGACTAGAGGGTTTTTCTTCATTGCAATTGTGCTTGGCAAAATGCTTGCTGTTATTATTTGTTCCTTGATATATAAGATAATAAAAACTCTTGCAAATGCAAACAGTCTCATAGTCTCTAAATCAAAAAAAATATTTCTTGATCCATGAATGAATACGATAGTTTATTTTCTAGTTGTAAATATGCCTACATTTTGATATTTTTGTTAGTTATGGCAATGCTTTTATTGTTTCAGTATTATACAGAGGTTGACTTTATAAGTGTTATTTGTATTCCTTAACAGTCAGTTAGAGCACAGATGAGTAAAGCTTTGAGACAGTGGGCCAGAGGTTGTCACGATATTTAAATATGAAGAAGCTCTTCACCACAGTGCTAGTTTTGGGAGACATGAAATATGCTATGTGTTTTTATCCATTATGAAACAGCATTACAGTGGTGGTTTCTGATACGTTGTATGAGTCAGACAGTTTACAATGCTGTATTTCTATTCACTAAAGGCAATGTTTTCTTTGGAAGAAGTATGATAAAATGTGTGTCTCCCTCTCAACTTCTGTATTTCTGAGAGATAGAAACCATAGCTAAGAAAAAATGTAGTATCTAAACCCAAATTCACTGAAAACTCCACAGCTTAATGACTACAACTGACTTGGAGGAACTGATGGGGGATGTTCTGGACTCTGCTTTCCAGCCAGCACTCCTGCTTAGAAGCTGCCGTGTTTTGTTTGCTTTAGAGACATCTACCTGGAATCGCTCAGACAAGAGCAATCTTTACCAGAACAAGTTTCATACAAAAGAAGTTAAACATAAAGCCACTCACTAAGACAGTGTTTGGGGTGGAACTGTAATTTAAGAAATTCCAGTCCCATATCTGGTCCACTAAATTAGTGGTGGCCAACATGAGGCATGCATGCCCACAAGTGGCATGGGCAGCCTGTGTGTATGCCATGCAGCAGACCGGGGAGGGGACAGGCAGTACAGCAGCAGATGGGGGAGAAAGCAGAGCAAAAGATCAGAGGTAGATAGGTGTTTGGCGTGATACTAGGGAGGGCATGATACTCATTTGTGGCACACCTGCGAAAATGGTTGTCCCTCACAGTACTGGATCATACTGGTTCCACAAAATTAAGACAACAAAATCAGTCAGGAAAGGAAACATTTTATTTATAACAATATGGAGTGGAATCCTGCCCCAGTGAAGTCAAGAAGAAAACTCCCTGATGATCATGATGGGATTTTTGTCTTTTGTTTATTAACAAAAGACTTTATAAAGATCACAGCAGCCTTTCCGTGTAGATGTACCCTGTTATTTAGAAAATTATCAAAATTGATTCTAGAGGTTAGACTGGTTCCACTCGACCCTTGCTCTGATGGCAGACCTACAGGTTTGTGTGATGAGTGAGTAAGGGAAAACTTTGTGTTTATATCTGGCTGTTCAGCTCTTTATATGGCCTCTATTGTAGTACTATCCAAGTACCTAATCAGTACTTGGCAAGATAAAGGATAGCAGGATAAAGAAAAGCCTCTAATATCCATGCAAACAAACAAAAAGATTGCAAATATGATTATCCTCATATGCTTCACAAAAAAAAAATAGAATTGATTTCAATATGCTATTGAGTGTAGATTTCAATTTCTAAAGGAAATCTCAGGAGGAAGAGAAAAGAAGAGCGTGGTACACTGGCTTCAGGAGTATGTTAAAAAAGAATTGTTCATTGTAGAATCACATTCTGTTACATCTGGTGGTTTTAAAAGAGTGCTCATAGTACTATGACATATCTCTGCTGGACATTTCACTAATGTATGCTTGACATTAAGTTGAACTAAAAAAAATCTATTTACCTTGGATGTTATCCCTCATATTGCTGAGTTGCTGCACAAGCTGTGTAGCACGGTGAATGGTCGCCATGGTTTCCTTCTGTATCCGAAGGTCTTTGCTTGATGCTTGATTTCTCTATGAATAAACCATGTGAGTTCAAGATTAGATTTTTTTAAAAACCCACATGCATGCATAGTGACAGGCAGTACAAAAATACATTTCACTTTTTCCCAATGACCATCTGAAGGTCCATTCATCACACAAAATGATATTTACAGAAGTGTTTGATGTGCCAAAGCTGCCTTGTTGGTATTTTATGAATAGCAGAACAGAAGATTAGAATTGGCCCCACATTTCCCCATCATTTGCTGCAATCAAATTATCATAAATTATGTACCATTTTAAACCTCCCATCAGACTTACTGCTGAATGTCAGATTGCCTAGCCAACTACCAATGCCTGATCTTGCTAGACACATTTCCTAAGTGATACAAATCATGGGCAGAAGAAAAAATTGAGGATCGGAGCCAGTTTAATTTGCTCTATTGTGCAATTTAACTCGGGGTCCTCATCCCCACAGTCTCTCTCTCCTTCATCTTATTAAATCTCAGACAACTACTGGATAGCCTATATACCTAGACAGACAGAAAGACAGTCTTATGTCACAGTTGGGATTGCCTTGCAAATTTTGTTCTTCATGTGACCACAAGCTTATTGGGTTCCCAATGCTGGTCATATAATAAAGCTTTGGCTAAGGACTGAGAAAAAATGAAGGGTAACCATTACAGAATTGGCATGTTTCGTATGAATGTATTGACCTCAATTACATTTCCTTTAATTTCCCTAATGTATTCTCTGAAAGAAAAGAAAAGAAGAGAAGAGCTTACTGCTATGTTGTTTACTACTCCTGTCTTGTATGTAAGTCAACACCTGATGCTTGATAGTATCAAAATACATGGATTCAGAATTTTGATTTGGCTCATAAAAGAGCTAATTTTCATTTGAAAATTAGGATCCAGGTTCAGATTTGAACGCTCAGTCGATAATTCAATATTTTGGAAGTCTACTCTTGCAGTTAGCTGTGTGGAAAGTCTGTTGTTCCTATTTAATTCTACATTTGACTGAGAAATTAAGTTTCATTTATCTGTCCTCAGGCTATTAATAGCTTTGCTATTGCCATGTCCTGTGATGCTAGTTGTTCTGTTTCAACAGCTGTGACTTGTACTCATATCTGCATAGTAAAATATTTTGTACATATATGTTTGCACTTGTGGAAGCACCAGGTGGCGCTTTAAACCAGACAGAAAGTTAGTATTATTTTAGTCAGATGTTACACTGTATTAACCTTGTTTCTGTGGAAGCAGAGTAAGGACCAGTCCTAGGAAATAGAAGATGAATGTTTATTACTTAATGAAAGAAATGGGTTAAGGATTTTTTTTAATACAGATTCTTTATTTTGCCTTTGAAAAGAAAGCATTGCATTCTTGTATTACCTTCAGGGTTTCTGGTGGTTGTGGTGGTGAATTTACTATTGCTTTTATTATTTCAAAGCCATAGAGTTAAATTTTTACATCGTAGCCTTTTCATTTAAATATTTTTCCTTTCTAACTACCCTCTTCATTCTTTTTTCCCAGCCCTGGTGTTTTTATTTGCATTCGGTGAGCGTAACCCAAGGATTGAACACTGCTATTAGAATGACATTACTGGTGATATCTTGTGGGTGGGAAGCAGCATTTTTTCCTGAGATAGAAAAAGGATAGCAGTGTAAATTAAGAAAACCATTGCTGAACACCCAAATCCCAGGATCTTCATGCAGAGCCAGGCTGGAATTTCAAAAAAGTCCACAGGAGGACTCCCCTAAATCCCAGCTGGATGTTCAGAACAGAGCATTACCATATTTTACCATAATTGCCTTACATTCAGGCTTGGGTCATTAGGAATGACATTTATCATAATGAAGCATTGCATTCAGTTTGTAATTCTGTTTTGTATTAAACCAGAACATGAGCTTCAAAACTGATTTCATTGTTAGTACCTTGAAAAGAGCACAAAGGGGATGTTTTCAGGGTTAAACCTGTGCTTTTCCCTCTACTGAAGGACTCCAGGAATGTTTCCCCTTTTCCTAGGAATCACAAGTTCTCTTGTGAGACTCTTCACAAGTGAGAGTCCACAGAAGAAGGACCACACATGCTGAATTCATTGGTTCAGTCTCCTAGGAGGCAGGAGAGACAGGTTTTATGACCCTATCAGACACAAAGTGGGTTTGGACCGACATATTTCAGACTTCCCACTATAGACGTGGTTAGTTGCGTCAGTCTAAAGTCAGACCAACTGTAGGACAGAGTAGCATCTTAGAGATTAACTGTTTCAGAGATGCATGAGCTTTCATAGTCAGTGACCTACTTTATCAGGTGCTAGGAAAGGATGCTGGCCAGTCCTTTCCTAGCATCCGATGAAGTAGGTTGTTGCTTTTGAAATCTCGTGTCTCTCTGAAACAGCCTCTAAGTTGCTACCCTGCCCTGCCTTCTGCCTGACTTCCTGGTACAGTACTCTAATCACTAATCCACAAGTCAAGTATTATCCAGAAGTATCTTCAGCCCTTTTGTTGAAGTTTCCCCCCTAGGCAGCTAAGACAGGGAGATATGTGGCAGCAGGAGGAAGAAATTAGGTTAGAGCAGGTCTTAACCTTTTTAGACTTAAGGCACCCCTTGTTAGACTCAAGGCACCCTTCGGAAAATGCCAGTTCTTTCTTAGTTTCCACTAGATTTTTTACTACAGAAAAATAATAGATCAATTATTTTGCTGTAAAGAACTCAGAAAGACCACAACAGGGCACAATATTTGTGTAATCCATGGATTCCTGTTGAAACCTCATGGTTCATCTTGTAAATCATGTTTTAAGGGCTAACAGTGCTAACCCCACAGCACCCTTGCAAGAATCTCAAGACACCCTAGGCTGCTGTGGCACCCTGGTTGAGAATCACTGGGTTTTGGGTGTGTACGGTTCTGTGAAATGGCTTCTGTTCTGGATACTCTGGACGGGCCTTTGTTCCCAGTAAGACAGAAACTGCCCTCCATTCAATTTCTCCAATGAATATAAATGCAAGATAATTGGCTCAGCCTCAAGAGGTCAGGAGAGGGGCATGGATAATACCTGACCTGTGGTTGTAGTGGTTAAAGTACTGTGCTGGGAAATCAAAAAGATTGCTAACCACCTCTGGATTTAGGGCAGTCAACGATCCAGTTTTCCTGTTTCCTGGTCAAGCAAGCTGACCATTAGGCTTTTTGGCTAGGTACAGACATTTTAAAAGCCCAAGGTACAATTGATTTAAGTTACGCAGTTTTCTGTAAGCAGCATAGTTTAGATTGGTAGCAAACAGAACAGACATTCGCTCTTTGGAGAAGTAGGGGAGGGCAAATCTTAGACTTGGTTTTGCCATTCTTAAACCAGTCTATCTGTGTTGAACTTCTGTTCTGTTATGGATGTAGACCAGTTTCCAATTACTTATACTGGTAAAAGTGTAATGTCTGTACCTGGCCTTGGACTAAGATGTGAGAAGCTCCTGCTCCTGGGATTTCATTTACATTTTCTTGACTGCAGTTTAAACCCATTGCTATGTTAATGCTGTGTTAGGTTGTAGTGAATGTGCTGTAGGAGCTGCAAGAATGTAACCCCAGTTTTATGGTCTTGCAACTGAACATAGATAAAGTGTTTATGATTATAATTGTGTCAAAACATATCTTGAGCACTGATCAGACACTCATCTCAGTAGGCACCCGATAAACCATTTTTAACCAGGGGTTTTGAAATACGCTTTGAAGTATTTAATCAGGCTTATTTAAATTTTATGAGATCATCCATGTAAAATACATACACTCCAAACATCTAAAAAATACACCCGAATTACTTTAATCTTGATTACTTTACTTAATTATAAATTAGAATTTGAAATGAAAATACAGGATGTCAACCTGAGATCAAATGTAGTACCAGTTTAGTAACTGTGGCTTCTATGGAGAACTATAGGGAACTGTATGTGAAACTATGATCTTAAGAGTGGAAAATGTCCTATTAACTTTATGGGATTTTGAATGAAGCTCTACCTCCTACATTTTCAGGGCAACAGACTGGATATATCAGTTCTAATTCCCAGATTAGTACTTTTAAATTTCAAAACAGCTACCAAATATCTGCCAGGACCTTTCTCCATTCCATTAGGGCCTTATAGTGAATAGGACAAACTCGTTTCACCTACTGTACTGTAAAGCCACAAAGTGAACTGCAAACACACCTGTACATCAAGTGCCTCTATGTCTTCAAGGAGATTGTTCATTTCAGTCTCAGCATTATTCATCTGGATCTTCCTAAGTTCAGAATGGTTTTCTTTTTCTGACAGTTTCATCTGCATGAAAAGAGATTTTTATTTAAAAAGAGTGTTAGCTCAGTGCATCTGGAGATCAAGTATTCTGTGCCATAGTACAAGCAGCAAAGGGCTTCAGAAGTAGTGAAGGGGGATTGAAGCACATTCGAATGCAGAAGCAATGGTGGGTTAATATTAAAGTAAACCCAACAAAAATTGGTACCTCAAAGAGGGAAACAGTTGAGTTCAGTTCATTTAAGCGTCTGTGAGCAGCAACACCAGTGGAAATGCTCAGCAAAGTTGATTTGCTTTCATCAATAGCCATATCTGATAATCGGATGTCATCAGTCAAATCCCAAATGCATTTATCACAGTCTGACAATAAGAGAAGATAGGGTCATTTTTCTTTTAAGATCAGTGCCAGGTAAATAGGAAGCATTTTCCTTCTTCTTTTTAAAAATTCAGTTCATGCATTTCTTTCCCCAAGAGACCCTCCTCTTTCTTATTAATGGAGCCCCAAGGACACCCATTTTTCTTCATTTTAATCCACCCACTTTCAAAGTCCCACAGTTTAGGCACCAAGCTTCCAGCTGAGGAGGACCAGATGGGCCTGGTTTGAGAAAACTGTCAAGGCTGCTCCATGAACAGTGGGAGGGGTCATATGAGGCATTTCCTGGCTTTTCCCTAAAGGCTCAACATGCTTGTGGCCCAGAGAATGAGAAACCGGGGTCAGTTCACACACTCTATCCTGTTACAGCATAGAAACACTTATTTAATATTTATTGCTATAGCAGAATTAGGATGTACTCCCTGCTCACTGACTGGCAGTCATTTACGGCAGCTGTACTCTGGATTGACAATTCAGTTAGAAGGTCAGTTCTTAAAAGCACAGTATAAATATATCTGTATTATGATTACCTAGATCTCTAATATAGCCATGCCTCTTGCTCTAAAAAATACTATGTCATTTCTAATGATGAAATCATTAATATGTACAAAGAGCCTTACCTGAACAATACACAAGCATTAGAAATAACTCTGAGAAATAGAAAGAACTCTGAGAAAGAGTATAGGTTAAAATGCCAAATTTCTTTTGGCTGCACTGCATGTCTTCTGTGCTGTACAGTATGTAGGAGGCATGGTAGAGTGGCACCTTAAAAGATTAACTCATTCAGAGACGCAAGAGCTTATGTAGCCAACAACCTACTTCATCAGAGGCTGAACATTTACCAACAGTTACAACATAGTCATACTGGAGAGTCAAATCCTATTTCTCCAATAGGAAACTAAGTGTAATTGACACCTCTAAATATAGCTGTGAGGTGCATTTTTGTCCCTTGCATGGCTTTTAGATCCTGTTAATAACTGCTCAGCTAGGACTCGCTCTTTAGAGTATGTTCAGCATGGATTCGCTATGGCTATGCATGCTCTCTATTTGGGTAGGTATATAACCGTGCGTTAATCTCCAGAAAGGTAACTGGAGAAAAGCCAGGGATGACTAGCTGCTCGGAAAAACATTCTACTAGCTCAGTAGTTTAGTGGCCAGGATGTTTACCAGGGAGTGGGAGATGCAAGAGCCAGACCCCTGGGAGGGTCTGAGCCTATAATTCACACTTCCCAGCAAAGGGCCTTAACCACCAGGCCATGGGCTTGGCAGTGCCAAGAACATCCTCAATCCCTCCTGCTGTAGCAGATAGACTGGGTAGCCAAGAAGGGAAGATATGCAGAGCCAGGAGCAGAGGCTCTGTGGCTTGCAGTGATGGACTGTAGCTCATGCTCCCCCACCTCTTTGCAGTCTATCTCAGGGGTGGGCAAAATGGTAGATCTGGCCAGCAGCCAGACTCCATTTCCCAACAGCCCTTACCTGCACGGCTCCTAAATGGTCTTCATGGGGACCCTGTGAGTGGTGGGGCCATGACAACACAGGGCTGTGACAGTGCAGGGATGCAGAGCTGGGGCTCTGCCATGGCCTCAGCCCCAGCCCCAGCCCTAGCCCTGTACTGTCATGTCCCCACACTCCCAGGGTCTCTATAGAGACCATCTGGGAGCAGCATGGGTAGGTTGCATGGCTGGTTGGGGAGCTGCTCTGGGGCTGGGACTAGGATCTTATGGTGGTGACAGTGCAGGGCCAGGGCTGGGACAGAGTTGTGATCTGCTGCCTGCATACCCCTGGCCACAAAACCTGCACTTGTTGCAGGGGTGTGCGCACACCAGATCATGGCTCTACCTTGACCCTGACCCTCTCAAGCTCCCACGGTCTTCCTGGCCCCACTGAGCCAACTCGCTCCCAGAAGCAGCCTCATTCCAGTTGCCCAGCTGTGTGCCCTGCTCACATGGGTCCCACCCCTGGCAGTGCATGCAGGGCGGGATGCCCAGGCAGTGGGGCTGGGTCCATTGGCAGGAGCCAGAAGGAGCTGCTGCCATGGGGACTGCTGGGAAATGAAGTCTGCCATGGATCTAGTCTGGCCTGTGGGCTGGACTTTGCCTACTCCTAGTCTATCTGCTTTAATTAATGAGGATTAGATGCAACATGGAGGAATAGCTTTGAGGGGAAGAAAAGGGCTGAAACCCAGGTTCCAACCCTTCCAGGGCCGTGTCTATCACACTGGTATACAGAACCAGACTCCTTCCAGCCAGTCAGTCAAACGAGCAGATGTTCAAGCACGCAAGCAGTCCCGGAGAAGACAATTCAACAAGTTGCATTCACTTCATGCCTCAAAGCAATGCTATGTGGAGGCATCTATGCCAGCTTTGAATGAGCAGAGCGACTTAGCAGAGCTCTCCTGATCCCAGTAGTAGCTCAGGTATCTCTGTGCACAGCTCTGAATAATTGTTCTTCCTGGACAGTTTCAGGGTAGCACTTAAAAAAACATTTAAGTGCTTTGCTGCATTAGGGTCAGGATGCTCTGCTCCTTGTAGAATCAAACCCTTAACTTATATTTGCAGTGTTAAGGTTAGGCAGTGGTTTAGTTTGGGAGATAAGCAGTTTTGCTTACCGATGGTTGGGCAGTCCATTCCTGTAGGAGATTCAGGGCTTTCTGCTAGACATTCTCCAGTGTGGCTGTCGCATGGTCCTCCTTCACAATGGCACTCTGGTGGGAAAAGAAGGATATTTTAGAATGATCATTAACTGCTTTAAAGTATCATATGTATTAGTTAATCTATCAGTTAAGATTTGGACCCCATTGTGCTAGGCCCTATATAATAAAAAGTAGTACATGCTCTGAGAAGCTTACAGTCTAATTAAATAAGATGAAGGGCAGGAGGGGAAACAGAATCACAGAGGTGAAATGACTTGTCCAAGGTCACCCAGCTGGTCAGACACAAAGGCAGGATTAGAGTCATGGTCTCCTCACAGTCAAATGCCTTACACATTAGACTATACAATCTCCCCTGCCAATGGATAGAGCAAGCATGGATTTCACCTCTTTGCTTTCTACTTTCCATTTTTTTTTTGAGATTTATCAGGTTTAATCCAAACTGAGATGCAAATATGTGATGATTCTCATTGATGAGTAAAGGAGAGATCTGAGAGAGACTAATATTATCAGGATGTTCATTTGAGTCACGTACAGATATCTGTATGGAATGAATTTTAGGAGGCAGACCATGGAAAGAAGCATACTTAAAGTTTTAAGTATTTGTCATCTATCTCCATGAAGGCTATTGAATGTATTGATCTGCACTATATCCACAGATGCCTGTTTTGAGTAGAACTGGTTTCCCAAGAAATGTAGGCAGATGGCAACTCTGCAGCTTCAGACTGCCTCCTCATTTGTCCTTCCAACCTTAGAAGAATTAATAGCTGACTGTAGTGCTGTTGCCAAGCTTAGCAAATCAAAAAACAAACACCCACCCTTGCATTCCCATCCATCAGATCAGCAGTGATGATGGAGCTGAAAGAAGTCTTCCCACTCATTCTGTTTTTACAGCTTAGTATTTGCTAAATATTTCGCCAAAACTCTTTGGGTTGTATCTACGGCACTTGGGGGTGCATGCACAAGTATTAAGTCAACTTAAAATAAGGTGATTTTTAACTAAGGTGACAAGTTAAGCCACCTCAGAGTATACACATGTACAGCTCCTTAACTTGGTGGCAGCCATCTTATGAGCTAAGTCAACTTAACTAATGTGACTCAAGATGATACACCTCGGAGGTGTATTATCTTGGGCTGCATTTAAGTCAACTCTGCTCCACATACATGTGTATGCTCTGACAGTTAAGTCGACTTAAAAAACTTAAGTTGGCTTAACTGTCAGAAAGTTAGTATACATTTGTGAACCCTGGGTTTCCAAGTCAGTCTCCCATCCAAGTACTAGTCAGGTCTAACACGGCGCAGGTTCCAAGATCAGATGAGGAAAAAAAAATTCAGTCTAGCATGCCAGGCTGTTCACAACCCACTTATGGTGAAAGTAAATGAGGTTTTAAAAATCATTTCAGCTTTAGGAAGCTAAGGTTTTACTAAAGGCACAAGTGATTTTTTTTTAGAAAACACAACTGTATTTCTTTGTTTCTGTTATTTAAAATAATATTTTAACACTTAAATATAGTCTTGAAACATAAACAGTTAAACAGACAAACAACAACAAAACCGAAAGGAACAATAGTGATTTTCCCAGAATTATTTTGGCTTTTGTGATTCACAGTATCATCAGCTTCCAGTAATAACATTGTTTAATTATACTTTATGTTTGTCTATCCACAGATATTCATCAAATGACAAGCAGCTAGAAAATTTTGAGGGGAAATTTTTGTGATGTATACTTAATTGTAAACTTGGGCTGCTTGCAGACATGACCACCCCCAAACCAGCCCTTTACTTTAAACTTGGTGCATTCCCACACCGAGCCCAGTGCCCAGAAGAGGCAGTGCATTAGTTGGAGCAGGCTCACCTGATGTCTGATTGAATCAGCTGATTGAATCAGCTATTTCATAAAAGTGCCAAAAAGCCCTGCTGAAGTGCCTTATCTATAGAGATGCTGCAGAGCCAAGTCAAAGTTACACGCTGTTTCTTCCAGTAAAGCATGAGTAGTTTTTTTTTTTAATGTCTGCAAGCAGCCATAATGAACTACATTTTGGTTTCACTGGCACCAGAGAAATTAATTAATGGCAGTGAAATTGTTCTGGTTTTATACTAGATTGGTTTTAGAATGTGACCTATTTTAGTCTCAGCCATAAATGATGGGGACAGGATCCAGATTATTTTAGAAAAAACACTTAGGGCTACCAGGTAATACAACAGCAATATGTAGAAACAAAATTACATCTTCTTTTTAACTTGCTAGCTTACATGTGTGGCAAATGCTTGTAACAAATTAATTTCAAAAGCAAGGCTGACAGGTTATGTTTCATCCAGTTGTTTAATAAGTGCTGCATTTTAAAAGTAGCATTACATTTTACAGTGTTAATGGGTGCATCTATGCATGAACTTTAATGCTCTGTAGTCTATTTTTCTGTACATTAAAACATCATGTAAAAACCCATGGATTTACATTAATGCGCAGTAAAATAGTCTACTGAGCATTAAGCATCACTAAAAAAAGTGTGCAAATGCGCTACTGTGCATTAACACAGCATAAAGCATATTCATTTAGTACCTTAACACTGGAGGGCACTTTTACACATGCTCTGAGGGTGGGGAGGGTTGGCTCTTTAATTAGAGCGGCTCTGAGAGCACCACCATGTCTCATGTTTCAGCATCCCCAGTTTAAAAAATGGCAGTGGGGGCACTTGAACTAAAGCTCGTTGAATGCTGATACACGAGATGTAGGAGGCTGCTGGAGCGTGGCAATTGCCATGCTCCAGCAGATTCAATTAATCAAGTCCACTCCAATGCTCTGGAATTCCAGAGTCATGTATAGGCATCCAGAGGTGCTAAATTTAATGTGCGTTAGAAAAGGTGCATTAATGCACATATAGATGCACTCAATAAGTAACAGTACTTTCAGAAAGCTTCTGAATTAATTTATGGGGGAAGTGTGTGTAAAGCCTTATAAAACATATGACACATGCTAATGGGTATGCTGAAAAGCACACAAAACTTTTATAAATGAGTATAAATGTTTTCTTTTAAAAAAATGATATAGGAAAATGATTATGCTGCACAGAGGCAAGGGTAATATCTTTTATTGGACTAACTAGATAGTTTGAATAAAATTCGACAAGCTTTGGAATGCAAGACATTTTTCATTAGGCAATATCTTGCACAGAAAGAGCACATTGTTATTTCCTTTCATTTCATGCTTGCTCTTGTCTGCTGGGTGTCTGTGATTCCCTGGTTAGGGCACTGGCCTGGGATGTGAAAGATCCAGGTTCGCACCCCTGCTCTGTTATCATATTCTCTATCCTAGACAAATGCCTAAGCTTTCATCTGGATATGAGAGACCAATATTCAAATTTCCTTTCTGCTTATTTTATGACCCTGTCTCATGCTGTGGCATGGACTAGATGACCTCTGTTTTATCTGTAGTTTTTATTATTCTATTTCTTTCATGGTTCTTAGCATATTTTACTTCTCTATAAATTTTTGTTTTATGTACCCCTTGTGTTGCTTTTTGCAAGTCAGATATGCATAGTCATATTTTTTACATTTCAATAAGGTATTCCTCAGGTTGAATATTTCTCTCCAAAGCATTAATAGAAGTTACAAATAAAAAACTAAGCCAACCTTGCTAAGTACAAGGCATCTAACATAGATGTTTTGATTTGGAGCAGTAATTTTCAGATTAATGTAAGTAGACTTTATGAGGCATAGAAACCCTTTATGGATTACTTGTCTAAATGTTTGTACAGTGTTTCTGTTCAGGCAACGTCAGCTGCTATTAATGAAATAAACTACATTCTAATTTTTAGCAGAGGTAAAGGTAAAATTAGACCTGTAAATCTCTTTAAAAGCCTGCTTGGGCAGCACCTAGGTGGGCTGTCTTACAGTCCAATTGTGTGCCTACATTCACCCCCCTTCCAAAGCAGTTCTCCAAATAGTTTCTTTCTTGGATATAGTTCCTACCAGGAATACCTTTCCTTCTCATGGGTTGCAAAGGTTGGCATTCAGATCCCTCCAGCAGGCTGCCAAGTTACTGAGAAGACCTTCCTAGCTTCTGCACCCCTATTTTCAGGTACAGGAGGGCAGTGCTGGACTGACCCAAAGTTTATCCCTAACTACTTTTTCACTAGGGGCAGCAATTCCACTCTATAATACCTTCCAAAATGACTATTCCCAAATTGGGAGTTGGTTGAGTAAGCTGTAGAAGAAAGTTTGGTCCTAGAGGATAAATTAAAAGATTCAGATAAAAACCAGTACAACATTTTTTAAATAGAATCTGCAATTTTCTTGAGGTTTAGGGGAAGAAAGATGTACCTTTTTAAAAATATTTGAGTGCCCAGATTCTTCCTAGTTTTAGGAAGAACTGAAACTCAGAAAGTAATACAAATGAGGCATAGAAATATAACAACCACTCTTGAACTAACAAGATTACACAATAGTGTTTAGAACAGGTGACATTACCATTATAAATGGCATCTACTTTATGTGGTTCCACTGCCCATGGTGCAGTACAAGTACATACAAAAGCATGGTCCCTGATTGAAAGAGTTATGATCTAAAGTAAAATAAGGCACAGCAAGTGAGCATTAAAAACAGGAGGAAGGCATGAGAGAGGAAAGGAAGGGATAAAAGTAATAGAACAGGGATGGCAATGGTTTTGGGCCGAGTGCCAAAGAGACCCACAAACTCAACTTGTAAAATGTTGGCATGCCAGGGGTGGATGGCAGGGGAGCTGCAAGGGGTCCAATCCTTGTTGTGGCAGTGCAGTCCTAGCCCCTTCCCTGCCATCTGCCCCAAGGCACACATGCTAAGCAAAATGCCTTTGCATGCCATGCTCTGGTACCCATGCCGGGGGTTGCCTACCCCTGTAATAGAATATGTGTATTTACATGTGCCAGCTTTCTTCATAAATGCATGATCTACTGCAGGGGTGTAGGTTATAGCTGTGTTGGTCTACAGACATAGGCAGACAAGGTTCCTTGGGTGGATTTGATATCTTTTATTAGACCAACTGCAGTGATTCTCAGCTAGGATGCTGCAATATCCTGGAGTGCCTTGATATTCTTTCAAGCGTGCCATGGGGTACCATGCAATGTTAGTATTGTTAGGTGCACAAACACGATTTACAATATTTCAAATAGCAATCCATAGTATTAAAAACATTCTGACTTACTGTGGTCTTTCTGATTTTTTTACAGCAAAAGAGTCACTCTTTTATTTTTAAAAAAGAATCCCTGATCTAGCCTCTTCCCAAACTGCCATCTTGGTGGCTGGTACTGCAGGCATTGTTTAGGATTATTGGGCACCTACATACACGAAGGACCTCTGCTCCAACACATGCTAATTAGCATGCATTGGAGCAGACTCAGTTAATCAAATCTGCAAGTCTGATGGTTATGCTAATTAACATGCTCCAGCAGCCTCAGAATCATGTGTATTCAGCATCCCCGCATTTCAAAATGACGGCAGGGGCACTTTAACTAAAGCTCATTGAATGTCATGCTCTCAGAGCCTCTCTAATTAAAGTGCCCCCCCGGATTGCATATATAGATGCCCAGTGTGGTTGGCTACTTTCCTACAGGCTCTAAGGAGCTCACCTTCACCTCAGTCTCACTCAGTATTTAATTCAAGTAGCATGTAAATTTGACTAATAAAAGCAAACTGCATTTAGTACCAAGGGCTTTCATCAGTTTATACCTAAAAAGAGTTCTACTATGCCAGGGGTTTTCAACCTTTTTGGTTCACTGTAGCCCTGGTGGCTGAACGTGGAGCAGTGTACCCGCAGCCACCGAGTGTGGGGGGGAGTGGTGTGCAGCTGACTGCCAAGTGTGGGATCATCTGTGGTAGGGCTCTGTCCCTGCCCACCCACGTGTCTAGGGCCTTCTCAAGTACCCCTGGGGGTATGCGTACCCCTGGTTGACAACCCCTGTACTATGCCAATGATTAGTGAGAGATCAGCTGTCATTTACTGATATGTGATGTTTTAAATTTTCACAGTATCTCTGGGTTCTGTAGAAAGATCTGTATGTGCGTGTGTTCGTGTGTGTATCTGTTAGATAGGGACAGAAGTAAAGCATTACAATTTTGCTGTACTATGTTTTAGCTATATATATATAGCATATATTACTAATATATGTAGTATATTAGTTATCTGTTTATCAGTACAAATGTATGCATAAACACATGCACATGCACACATGCCCACATACACACAGTGCTAAACATGGCACAATACCTGTACAGTTTTTAGCTACTCTGGCATCTCCATAATAACCCGGAGCACATAGTTCACACTTGAACCCTGTGGTATTACGCAGGCAGTTGCGGCATTGGCCTGTCACCTCATCACAATCCTCAAAGATCAGGTTAGGATCTGAGTTTCCACTGCAGTCACATTTTCTACAAGTGCTTCCAATCAGCAAGGGATTGCCATAGTAACCTGGGGCACACCTGAAAAGAAAACCAAGTCCAACAATGATTAATAATGACATCCCCTTCAGCAGTGCCATTTTTCTGACCTTGTTAAGCCACCAGGAATTGGTGACAGTCTGAAACTGCTAGTGAAAAAAATCAGATTATAACCTTAATGCACCAGATGTTGTTTTGTAATCTAACTTCAATCTAGCTAGGTATTTATAGTTGTATTCCTTGTAGCTTTGAGACATATGTTTTCTATCTTGAGCACTTTTAGTTCTGGATCATTTCAGTCTTTTTTGTGTCAGTATCTTTAACTGTTTGTTTGTTGGATGTTGTTTTTAAGTGTTTTACAGAATGACCTTGGCAGAGGGTCCATCACTCAGCAATAATAATGTTTATTTTAGTTACTATCAACTTTGGACATGATACATCATGTGTTTTATAGGGAAGGGGAAGAAGCCCAGATTTCATGTTGTGAAATTAAAAATAGTGGAAGTCTAGATGTCATTTTCACTTTAATTCTTACAAAAAAGTCAATATAAAATGGTTTGACCTAGACTACTTCTGTGATGAGACAACCAGGTTCTGTTATATCTGAATGCTGAAATGTGGCGAGGTTTGGTTAAAAACCCTTCCTATTGATCTCTTTGCTGATGGCTCTCCACGAAAGAAGAAAGTAATTCTGATTTCTTTGAGATTCCTCATCACTACTTTGTTGGTGCTCAGTTCCTCAGCTCCTACAATGAAATCATATACTCAGCTGCTTGAATTAATTGCCTCTGCTGTGGAAGTGCATTTGCACCTAACCAGGTGCACACACTGCCAGAATCTCCTGACAGTAAGAAAAATAGCCTACAATATTGGTGACCTTGAGATAAATATTAAAGCTGACATCCATAGTTATATGCTTCTGAAGGAGACATCTGAAATCAGCTGCAAGCATATGCAGATCTCCTGTTTTTTAACCTGGTATAGTGTCAATGTCTTCAGTGAGTTTACTCTCAGTTTCCACTGGGGTGAGAGCAGTCTGCTATGCACACAGGCAGGAGTTTAGAGAGGAAAAAAGAACATATTCAGCTTCATGAAAGGCAACTTGTCACTCATGTTCCTTCTGGGCATGTCTACACGTGCACTTTAATGTGCAGTAGCCTATTTTGCTGTGCTTTAAAGCATCACATAAAAAAGCACAATCATGCTAATACACAGTAAAATAGGCTACTCAGCATTAAACATGATTTAAAAACCATGAGAATTCATTACTGCACATTAAGGCAGCCTAATGCGCATTTTGTTAGTACCTCACATTAGCGGTACTAAATTTAATGTGCATTAGAAAAAATGCCTTAATGCATGTGTAGACATACCCTCTATATATCAGAAAGTGGCAGTATCAGGTTTCCTAAGGGAATCTTTCTGGGTCTTTACACAGTGGGCACACCTTAAACAAGATGTTTACGATGGAGTTGCCTCATTAGCTCTGCAGTAAAGTCTTAGGGCATCTGTACATATGTTTGTACCTCAGTGCCAGGCAGTTTTAAAACCATACATTTGCATGCCTTTGTTTAAATGGTGAAATGTGCGTGCTGAGAAAATGGCAGCAGCGTGTTTTTGAACTAAAACACATCAAAGGTGTTCTGGTTCAAAAGCACACGGCTGCCATTTCTCCCACGCTGATGTGTATTTTGCCATTTATACAAATGTATGAGATGCAGCACTGGGTGTGTCAGCTCGTGTGCGGAGCACATTCAGTTAATTGAGTCTCCTGCAACACGTTGGAGATCTGGTGTGTTGGAGGAGACAAATGTATGTGTATAAATGCCCTTAGTGTCTACACATGCAACCCTATTAGGCTATAGGAAGCTAATTAACTCTGCTGTAGGTTAGTACTTGTAAACACAAGTACTTATTTAGTGCACTGCAATGCATGTGTAGATGCTGATGGGACTGGCTAGGGCATGAGGGTGCTTCAGTGCAGGGGCTGCCTGCTGGCTAGCTGCACATTAGAGCAATCTTGTGCCCCAGTGAGCTCCTCTGCAGCACGTTGAACCAGGTCAGAGCAGCCCTGGGCTGGCAGGCTGAGCCCCTGGGTCTGACCCAGCTCAACGTGCTGTGGTCCTCAGTGCATGTGTAAACATGGAAGCTGGGTGCAATAAACTCTGGCGTGAACTGCACCAGAATTTCTTTCTTTTAATTAATTGTGCCCAGTTACAAACCAAGGTGTTTCACAGTTACAACCAGGGTGCAGACATTGTATATGTACTGATAGAAATGCCTGTATGTGGTCATGTTGAAAGGCTTGTTAGATCTTCTACCAATGCCAACTAGCAAAGTTTGCCAATTTTTTTTATAGGTCAATATTAAAAAAACCCTGAAGTTTTAAATTTGAAAAAGTTCCCCCATTTCTTTTACCATCTATACAACTGGTTGAAACCTTTGAAATGTCATGATTCTCCCTTCCCTTTATTAATTTTTTTGATCATCTGTAGTTGGGAATGTTCACATGAACATCCATCTGGTAAGAAGTGTCCTGTGACAATTAGATCATTTCACGTAGGCTGCCAAACAACATTCAGATAGTAACAGCATTTAATAATGACTGCTAAATTTGGTACAGATTTGAATTAGTGGCTTCATCATACAAAATTGTATACTTGCTCCAGTCACTTGAGCATTCTGGATCACATGGCATTCCTTTTAATGAAGAAGTGCTTAGGTTTTTCTCACCTGAAATATACCATTCAATTCAAGTGCAGCTTTCCATGTGGCAGAAACATGGAAGGTAGTGCACACTCATTCCAGCAGATGTGTTTGTGAGCATGGAGATAGTTGTTGCCTTTTATGATTGTCTTCCTTCCTTCGATTAGCCATATCTCATAATTTGGAATAACTGTCACGAACTTAGAGCTGAAAATAAATATGCCACATGCACTTTCCTTCATCATATTCCCTTACTTTTTAGTATACCAGATAGACTTGGATTGCACATGACATGACTCTTTTGACTTGTTGGCACTGAATGAGAAGAGCAAGGGAATCTGAACAGAAACATACTGCTCTATGTCCTTACTTCATGTACCAACAAATAGAGCCTTGCTTTAAATACCTTCTCCACTCCTGCCACATCTCAGTAAATGACTCTTTGTGCTGAAGAATGTTTTATTTTCCATGCAATTTTCAACATGTCTCTTTGTGGAAATAGTAAAATTACTGAATTAGCTTTGTTTCTTCCTGCAGGCATTTTAATTTCCTGTAATTACCAATGGTAAGAAGTTGACTTCCCCTTTGCTGGCATTGCAAATAGAACCTTTCCTCTCTGTCCACTTTGGAATCCAAGATGTATTTTTTTAACACTTAGAACATAACAAAAACTGGATTTTGTCTATTACTGTCTTAAAACCCTATTTTGGAAAACAGAGAACAAAAGGTTGTCTCGCGCTACAACTTGGGAATCAGAATGCTGTGTACACAGTTCCTAGGAAAAGCCTCCATGATTTTTTCATAGATTTCATAGACATCAGGGCTGGAAGGGACCTCGGAAGATCATCGAGTCCAGCCCCCCGCCCAAAGGGCAGGAAGTCAGCTGGGGTCATAGGATCCCAGCAAGATAAGCATCCAGTTTCATCTTGAAGGTGTTCAATGAAGGCGCTTGAACCACCTCCGGTGGCAGGCTGTTCCAGACCTTGGGGGCTCGGACAGTAAAGAAGTTCTTCCTTATGTCCTGCCTGAAACGATCTTGAAGTAGTTTGTGACCATTTAACCTCGTCATCCCTTGGGGCGCTCTGGTGAACAAACGTTCCCCCAGATGCTGGTGGTCACCCCGATAAACTTGTAGGTGGCCATCAGATCACCCCTGAGCCTGCGCTTTTTCAGGCGAAAGAGCCCCAGGGCTCTCAGCCTGTCATCGTAGGGTCTGCTTCCCTGACCTCTGATCATGCGCGTGGCTCTTCTCTGGACTCTCTCAAGCTTCTCCACATCCTTTTTGAATTGTGGAGCCCAAAACTGGACACAGTACTCCAGCTGCGGCCTCACTAAGGCCGAGTACAGGGGGAGAATGACGTCCCGGGATTTGCTTGAGAGACGTCCCGGGATTTGCTTGAGACGTCCCGGGATTTGCTTGAGATCATCGAGTCTGACCCCCTGCATAGGCAGG